GTCTTCGTTAGGGTTCGCTTGGGTTTCAGTTGGGTTTTTGATGGGTTTTTGTTGGGTTTTTCTTCTTGTTGGCTTCATTTTCAAGTCGTGGTCATCTCCAAGTCCAGAAAGTTGAGTTCTGGGCTCCTTTTTGGGGTTATTTCTGGAGTTTTGGGGTTTTTTGGGGTGGTTTTGGGGAGTTCCGTTGGGTTTTCGTTGGGTTCTTTTTGGGTGTTCGTTGGGTTTTCGGTGGATTCTCAAGACTTTTCCCTTCATTTTGGGGTGCATTGGATCATTTTGAGCCACTTCCCTTATTATTTCATTTTCTGAGGGCAGATCTTTTCTGTTTCACTTTTCCCACCATCATTTTTTCATATTTTTGAGTTCATTTTCGGGTCAGATTCCTCCTTTTTCCCTATTTTCCCACATTTCCTTTTCTCCACGAAGGGTTTCCGTTTTGGGGGTTGAATTTTTGTGCTTTTTTGAGCGTTTTTCATGAGATTTTGGGGGGGATTTTTGTTGAACAGACCACCGAGGGCCGATTTTGTGGCCAGTTGATGGGATTTGGGCTCATTTTTTGGGTTAAAACGCCACAATTTTGGCTGTTTTTTCAGTGAAAGGCGACGACCTGCAGACCATCAAGAAGGAGCTGAGCCAGATCAAGCAGAAGGTGGACTCCCTCCTGGAGAGCCTCGAGAAGATCGAAAAGGAGCAAAGTAAGCCCAAAACGACCCAAATTTGGGTAAACTTCACCCGCTCACCGTTTGAAAATGGGGTGAGTTGACCAAATTTGGAGTTTTTTGACCCATTTCTGTCGGGCACCGCAGAGCAGAAGAGCGACAAAACGGAGGAGGAGCAGGGAGGGGGATCGACCAAAAAGGAGGAAAGTGGCCCCAAAACGGAGGCGGGCGCCGACGATTCGGCCGAGGAGGGGGACCTGCTGGATGATGAGGATGCTGAGGAAAGGGGTGATGATCAGGTAATTAGCGGGGCTGTTAATTAACCCCCAGGGGTTGTGGGGGGGAAGGGATGGCGGAAACGGGTGGGAAATTTGGGGGAAAGCAGGTGAAAAAGTGATGGGAAGTGAATTGGAGAGAAATGGGGAGGTAATTAATTGGGGGAGAAGTGGGAAATTAATTGGGTGGGGGG